GAATATAGAAAAAAGATGTTCATTATGAAAGAGACAGCCATGATGGTTCTCTGAAGGGTGACAGTGTTTTACTATCTGTATTCAAAATGGAGCTCCACCTTGTCGTAACTGATATTCTTGTCTATTGCAGGTGAAAACTGCCAATACCGGTTACATGTCTCGTAGACTGATGAAATCCATGGAGGATCTATTAGTGCATTATGATAACACAGTGCGAAATGCCAGCGGATGCATACTTCAATTTACGTACGGGGATGATGGAATGGACCCAGCACTAATGGAAGGAAAGAATGGGGCTCCTTTAAATTTTGATAGATTATTTCTGAAAATTCAGGTGCCTTTTCTAGTTTGTATGTTGGTTTTAGTCTCTATTTATTTAGAGTTTCATTGCAATTGGTACTTGCATTTTGCAGGCGACATGTCCTCCTAGATCACACCACAGGTATCTTTCTTTAGAAGAATTGTCGCAAAAGTTTGAAGAGGAAATAGTCAGACATGATACAAGCCGGGTTTGTACCGACGCATTTGTGAAGTCTCTTCGAGAATTTGTTTTATTGCTTGGAGTAAGGTCTGCAAGCCCGAGCCTGGTTTTCCGCAAAGCATCTGGTGTGACTGATAAGCAACTCGAGGTAACTTTCTTTGTGTTCCTTTTTTTGGAGTAGAAAAAAACTCAGTGCATTTTGCATCTCAGCTACATTTAATTGACAAAAAATTATACCATCTGTTCTCCCCAGTCGATATATTTCCATCTTCAGTAATACAAACTTTCCCATTTTCTTGTGGTATTATATGATTGACAAATATGAAAATATTGCCTCTGATATATATCATATACATAAGCAGGTATTTGTAAAAATATGTGTATCTCGCTACCGGGAAAAAACAATTGAAGCTGGGACTGCAATTGGAACAATAGGAGCTCAGAGTATTGGAGAACCTGGGACACAAATGACACTGAAAACTTTTCACTTTGCTGGAGTTGCGAGCATGAGTATCCTTGTTAAATATGTTTATCTTCTGTATTTTTCTGCAAAACAAGTGCTTATGACCACATATGAGTAATTTAGTTGTTTTGATTTCCTGATTCTGGTTCAGATATCACACAGGGAGTCCCTCGAATCAACGAAATCATAAATGCTACCAAAAATATAAGCACACCTGTCATCTCTGCAGAACTTGAGAACCCCCTAGAATTGACTAGTGCACGATGGGTGAAAGGACGCATCGAAAAAACTACTTTAGGACAGGTTCTCTTTTCTCTACATTATTATTTGAACTATTGCACTTATCCACTCTTTGATAGTCGCTGCTACTTGTTTTAAAGTCCATATTGCAGACTGATGGCATTTTATAATTATCAACAACTGGATTGTTGGTCCAGCACCTTCTCGTTAGATACTCTTTTCTGTTTATCACTGTTTTTACCAATCAAGTTGCCAAAATCCACTTGAATTATGGCCCAGGTTGCTGAGAGTGTCGAGGTGCTAATGACTTCAACATCAGCGTCAGTGAGAATAATCCTTGACAATAAAAGGATCCAGGAGGCATGTTTATCTATAAGCCCCTGGTCGGTAAAAAATTCCATCCTAAAGACCCCCAGAATCAAACTGCAAGATAATGTACGGTCCTTAGATGTTATATTGCTGTATTCATTGTGGATTGTGGTGCATACAGGTCTTAAGTCTCTTTGTAATGTAAATTGTGCAGAATATCAGGGTTTTAGATACAGGATTGGATATTACTCCCGTAGGGGATCATAGTGGGACTCATTTTGCTCTCCACAATCTGAAGAATGTGCTGCCAAATATTATAGTGAATGTGATATCCGTTGAACTCTAATTTTCCTTTAATTTTCAACAATTTATCTTTCATTGACTGCGCAAATTCACTCTGTGGTATTGTTATGATAGGGGATCAAAACAGTTGAGCGAGTTGTTATCGCAGAGGATACCGATAAAAAGACACAAATAGATGGGGAGAAAAGGTGGAAACTGTTTGTGGAGGGGTAAGTTTTCTCGAGCTTCAGGGGTAGAGATTGTCCCTTGTTTTTTTTCCGTTCCTATAAGTGATAGCTTAGGAGATATTTCATCTACGCAGTTGAGCATGATTTCATTTGGTGAACTGTTGATGGATTGCAATATCAATCATATGTGGTCTTTCTTTTCCCGTTATCCTAGCTTTTGAATCTTTTGCTTGATATATGTTTCAGAACAAACCTCCTGGCAGTTATGGGGACTCCGGGAATCAATGGGAGTACTACTACAAGTAACAATGTTGTCGAAGTGAGCAAAACACTGGGAATTGAAGCTGCTAGGACGACAATTATTGATGAAATAGGGACAGTTATGGGAAACCATGGTATGAGTATAGACATTCGTCACATGATGCTTTTGGCTGATGTCATGACTTACCGGGTCAGTTCTAAGGACGCTTGAATCTGTTATTTTGGTCTTCGTTGATAACATGTTCCGAGACAGTCATGTTTACGATTAAATGTCACTTCAACTTTCTTTATCAGGGGGAGGTTCTTGGGATACAAAGAACGGGGATTCAGAAGATGGATAAAAGTGTGCTGATGCAGGCATCTTTCGAGAGAACTGGAGATCATTTATTTAGTGCAGCAGCTAGTGGAAAGGTTGATAACATAGAGGGGGTTTCAGAATGTGTGATTATGGGGATACCAATAAAGCTTGGAACCGGAATACTCAAAGTCCTCCAAAGGTCAGTTCCCATTCCTCTCCTTCTGGCATTACCTAGTTCTCTGATAGACTTGGGTGACATCTCAATCTCATCTTGTTTCGTGAGTTCCTTTTAATATCGAAAAATATGTAAACGTTAAAACATAAGCATAAGCTTAAAATTATATCCTTCATTGTCTTCAGTATATGAAACTCCTTTGTAAAACTTGTAAAACTAACTCTGCCGTTTATCTTGATCAACAGGACCGATGATCTGCCTAAGCTACAATATGGTGCTGAGCCAATCATCTCTTGAAAAAGGCAGAAACAAAGTTTTGTAGAAGTTCACACTGTCTAATATATAGATAATACGGAATGCAAGATCAGTGCAGATGAAACCAATTCTCGGGTTCCAGTCAACCACCCGCTTTGCATTCTAATGGCTTAAACAAAGGCGAGGTGATAATCCGCCAGCTTCGATATGCCCATGTAGGATTCTGCAGCATAAACCCGGATTTTTGTTAGCTTTTTGGTCTGCCCTGAGTTATCATTTCTTATTTCTGTTCTGATCATTGTTTCAGACAATAAAACATCTCGAGGTACACCTTTTGTGACTCACCAACATAAGATCACTGGACCCTCATGGTGACCTTCTCTTATGTTTTTGTAATCCATAATATATTGACAATACCTTTTGTGGATTTTGATATCTAAAACCTAATTGTGACCTTCCCTGATGGTTACAATCTCCCTCTCTTTGCTTATTCCCCAAGCAATTTCAGCTTACGAATGTTTTGACTATCTCCACATCGATTAACTCCTTTAAAAAATTCCCTCTTGCGAATAGTAAAATAATCAACAAGCAGATGAATTACTTATCCCTTATAATGCTTATGAAATGTACTAAAGGTTGAAACAATGAATCCACAATGTAGAGCAAAACATCAAAATGTAGAGATAATCTGAGATTTCTATGAATCCACATTCTTATATAATATTTTAAGATTTTTTAAAAACAAAGCTATGAAAGGTTGCTATGTGGCAAATACTCTTTTAATATGTGTTTTACTTTTCAAAAACTAAAATAAATTTAAATTTGTATATATTTAATAGTATAGTAATTAAATATTTAATGACAATGTATATCTTATATAAAGAATTAAGAGTCTCATGTGTCATCTAATTATTTGACATTTTTTTAATTTATTTATTGAAAAGAAAAAAAAATCTTTTAACTTTAGCAATTAATTCTAATAAGTTACAATTAAGTGTTTTGTGTACATTTATGTAATTCTTATGTAAATTACTATAATTTTTATGTAAATTTAGTATATAAAATATAGATTTTATTTATCAAATCCAACAAATCCTATATAAAAAATTGAGTTTTTTACTTTTATATAGGTAACTATGATTTTAAAATACTAAAATCACAAAAGAAAAGTTATAATAAAAAGAAACATAACATGAACAAAAAAAATGATTTGAGAAAATTGAAGAATGAGTTTAGGACTTTTATGGCTGTTAAATCCAACAAATCTGATTGGAGAAATTTAGAATTCAAACATTTTTTAAATGATTTCATAGATTTTAAAGTCAATTTACCAATCACCCTCTAATACAATTGAAATAATTTGTGTTGAACAAAGTAACGTTCCTAACCAAGACTTTTCTTGATAAGCACTTCTGTTGAGATTATGTAGATGTCTCGATATAAGTAAAACATACTACAACTTGTCTGATCAATATATTTTTATAGATGTATTTGGTGCAAAAAAAGACGACTAGTCACTTTTTAGGAAATTGTAGTGAATATTGATTCAGACATACAAGTTAAGGATTTGTGACAAAGAACATGTCTTCTATATGTTGTAACTTTTATTAAAGAACGGTCTATTTTTTTAAATATAATATTGTATATATCCAACAACTTATAATAAATGCTAAGTTTTATAACTTAGATAATTATTTACTATAAACATCAAATTCATATAATATTAAATATACAAATAATTAATAATTAGAAATTATTAATGTTAATTTTAACCATGTTAATTTTTAAATCTAACGCAACGCGTGAACAATCCCTACTGGTTTATATCTTTAGATCACCTAATGAATCCACCGTCCATAATGGTTTGTCAGCCCTGAGATTTCTTTTCTTCTTCCTGTTCTGCTCATTGTTTCAGACAAAATAAAGTATCTTTGAGGCACATCTTTTTGAATCTTTCTCTCATTGCAAGTCACAAACAGTTACAGTATATCCAAAAGTAAGAAGAACATTTGACATTTCAGGGTCACAAGCTTATATACTATCTTGGGTTAGTCGTAAAGTGTAATCTGCAGCTGCGATGCATCCGGCTCTGTCAAGACCTGTCTTATGAAAGCTCTTCTCCACCATACCTCAAATGCTCGTTGAACATTTGGACAATCATCGCCTTTGCTCAGAAACCGATCAAACCATTTCATCAGAATCACCTGCTGTTGTCTCAGGGACAAGGTCAAGATGGTCTGGCTAAGTCCATCCTCCACCAGTTTCCTATCTAGGGTTCTTGAGGATAACCGTCTCATCCACCCGAAATCATCATACAAAGCCTCTAACCATGTATTCAAAACCGCAAACCTAGTCTCTCGGTTCACCAAGATCCTTCCTCTACCAATACCAACACATATCTGCGCTGTGATCTTGCTTATTTCGTGTCTATACATCGTTGGTATCTTCGAATGAAGATTCGATAGCTCCTTTTGATCCGCCCATAGTTTCACAAACTCATCACACATTTTCTTCTCAATCAATATATCTACCATCCACAGCATGTTTTCAGCTTCTCTGGCGATTTCTCCCATCAAAGAACCACGGTCTTTCCCGGGATCATTCATCTCTGTGGTCACTTCAGATAAGCAAAGGACAAGAGACGTGAMACATCGATGGCACAAACCGTAAAGTGTATCTTTAGAGACATCATGATCAGCCTCTTCTCTAATCAACTTAAAGATCAAAACTTTCATCTCTCGCCGAGCTTTCTCATCTTTCGCTTGTAGAACACCAGTGAGGAGTTTCACAAAGATATCATCGGTTCTGTTCCTCGTCGAGGAAGTGGAAGGCTCAGATGAAACTCTCTGAAGAATCAAAGTGACTGAATCATCATCAGGAAGATGAAGCTCTTCAAGACAAGACACAACAATCTCTTCTTCATCTTCTGACCAAGGAACAGCTTCCAAATGCTTCAAACATGACATTACTCCTTCATCAAACAATATAGCTGCAGAAACCTACCAAACAAAAACGAGATTCACACATTAAAAAAAACCATCACAAAATCAAGAACACACTAATCAGAATCGAAATTTGGATCATAACCTTAAGTAAAGCCAAGATTTTGATGACACTTTCACCGATCAATTTCTTCTTGAGATCATCACAATACAGCAAAACAACAGTCTCTACATAGATCTCTAAATCATCACACTCACTAATCTCCACCATGTGAGAAACTCCTTTCTCTCTTCTCGAATTCATCTTCTCCATGAAAAACCTGCTCTTCTCAGATAAAACCTTCCTGTGAACATCCATGGTGACTCTGTAACCGTCTTTCCCCACCACAGTCAGCTTAACGTCGCTTGGACCGAGGCTGTGGCCGTAAACGACGCCGTTCTTGAACTCCGTCAGGATCTGCGCCACGCGCGCGTGAGATTTCTTCCGTGGCTCGCGGCTGTGCTCTTCCGACATCATGTCGAAAAGGGTCGGATTTGAGTGGGTCGATTCGTTT